AACAATCCTTCCGCAAAAACACGTAAGGTTAAGAACCACTCAAACAAAAGTGCCAAATATGATAAGTAGAGGTATAAACTTTCCATTTCGGCCGTTTTGATTTTTGAGAAAAATCCAGCAATACGATAATTTTATCTAAAGGTTGAGTTAATTTCAACAAAAAATCATAGCACACAGACGACGTCATGTGAAATTGAACATTTTGAGGATAGCGCTGTATGGTCTGATACAGAAAGCGCGTCGACGATGAGCAATAGCTACAATGGATCAGATTCTCACTCGTTTTCTTCACTCTCAGGCATAGGTCCAATGCCATGTGTGTACACGACCATAGCTGTTTTTACGACAGCTTCGTTTGTACACACTGTGGTAAACTCTTCCTCTTGTGTGATGCAAATATGATCGCCATGTATCAGAGGATCAGTATTGTTTACCTCTTGGCAACATATACTTTCCCGTCCTGTACTCATGACCACACAAAAGCCACACTCACACCTAAAAGATAAAAACATTGTTTTTACTTTGGGAAATACAATGAAGCATCAATAAAATGCAACTAACCATTCAACATTTCCAATTCTGTGAATGTATTTATCTTCGCTTTCCGATGACGGAGAATAGTAATGACCACCTTGCGCGTTAGCCAAAGGCTCAAACATGTAAGGTTGTACCTCATTGTTATTGATGACAATATCATAATCGGCTTCTCCTTCAGAAGAATCCATTAATTTTGATAAATAAAAACAGTAATAGCAAACTACCGAAAGCCGTGCAAGCACTGCATGCCAGTCGTAGAACGATATAAGAACGATGCTTGTTTATGTCAACTAATACGTCACTCTTTCACAGTTCCCAGACTTAAACAATCTCACGGCGTTTTAGCAATGGTCATCGAATATCGTGTTTTTACCGATTATAACCCTAAATATCTTTTGAAAAATCTTGCGGACGACTTCGAAACTTGGTACGTCTTATTTTCACGCTATAGACATTACAATAAAATAAAGGTGTCTTCTAGCTGGCATGTGTCCTTTATTAATAGAAATAAAAGTTATACGTATAAGAAAATTTTTGCAGTAAAAGCAAAAGCAGGGCGCAAACTCAGTAAATTTATCAATATTTTGCACAAACCTTGTAAGATCAAGCACAGAAGGTATTGGTTCAACTTTTCTTCGTTCGGTTCTGGTTCTTTCACGTTAACATTTCCAGGTTAAATACAAATAAACAAATTACTCCCCAAACATTGTAGTCATAAGATAATACAGCAATGTTCTTCTTCCCAAATTTCCGCTCTGTTATGACTCCAATTCAGCGACTGCCAAAAGCAGGCTGGATACAATCAAAGGAAGAACAAAAAGTCTTAATGCTCTCACCCAAATCTCACCAGGCAACGGCACGTACATTGCATATTCCTTAGGTGTTGAATCTATGGACGACTGAACAAATCCATGCAATAACGCACGAACTAAAAATCCAGATAGTACGCCGAATAAAATGAAAAATGCACTTCAATTTCAGCCAATGATAAGCTTAACTCTAGATCACGTGAGATCAAGTTGGGGAATTGTCGTCATCTCGCGAATGTAAGTTTTCGGCAAATAGTGAAAAAGATTCTTTATTAAAATTAGCACATACACAAATCTTTACATTTTACAGACGTAATGATGTGCCCACCTCAAGCCAATTTAAGCGTGGTATCAAAATAGCACTATTTTAATTAGTTTCGTTTTAGCATTGTAATATGATGTATTTTATCTTCATATTTTCGATTTGTATTCTTTTTCTTTTCTTTTAGTAGTTATATTATATTTAGTTACTTTTAGAGGACCTCTCTAAAATTTTTACAAATTTTACATTTTACATACGTAATAGAGTACATTCTATCTAAATAGTTATTATAACAAATTTTAACTCCATAGTTTGTGCATTTCTACATTTCTACAAATAAAATATTTCTACATATACAGTCACACTTACAGTTCATCAGGAATTCATGGTAGATTTAAATCATATATTTCAACACTAAAGTCCAAATATAAAACCTCAAGCAAGTTATTAAAAAGTTCAGCATAACTGTCAACGTCTGATTCCATCCCTTGATCTTCTACAAGATTCTCTTGCAGAACGTTTTCTCCGCGGGAATTGTTTTCGTCTCGTTGCTCATGCTCCAGTCCTTCGTGATGTTCGTCTTCATTTCTATTCTCGTCCTCATTTGATTCAAAATTGAATTTTTATCGTTTTGTTCATATCTTTATTTTACATATGCTAATGTGACTCGCAAACTTTACCAACAAATGTTGCTTTCGATGAGGAGGTGCTCCGTCACAAGCCAGCTACCACTTACTTTGGTGTAATCCAAAGGACGTCCTTATACATCACTGCCTTGCAGAAACTCAGAGACTCAGCAAAACTGTTCACGTAACCAATCACATTCATCCAGTCGAATGTCAATTGCAGAAAAGACCAGAAAGCCGGACATGGCAAAATGCCGAAATTGGGAAAGCGAAACCCCGAGCGAAACATTTATTAGTAGTGATGTGTGATGTAGGTGTGATGTTGTGATGTGCGTGTACAACAAAACAGTCCTTCTCAGGACTATACCAACCTGGACGATCTACATCTACAAACATGTAACGATACTCCGGGTTCAAACCATTTACTTTAACCAGTAAATGGTTTGTGAACTTGGCAATATTTAGGTGTACATCAATCTATGACGACGAAAGTCGCCAATTCTTCCAACATTTGCTAACCTTTGTGTCGAATCACTCGAATGTATTTGGATTTATCTTACTTAAAATTTATTTCTATAAATGTGTTTCTATCAATGCATTCACAATTTCAAACTTGTCAGATTTTTCATTATACGCAATTACGAAATTAGGGAAATTAGAAAATTATGTTAAAATGTTGAATTTGTTTGTTAAGATCTGGTTTTTGTTTGCGTGTGTCTAAGGCTTCTTTGTGTTTTAGAGAAAATTGAGTGTAATGTTCAACTTTGTCTCTATCACACTCATGATATTTGCCGTGTAAATATCACTAATATTTCATCAAACCTTTTCCTTTTACTGATTAACACGTATCAAGCATCCTATGATAAATTCAGCATTTTAAATAACTTTACTTTATTCTTCATTTCAATCGTGCCATTACGAAATTATGGAAATATTCATATAGTTGTAAATATAGGAGAAGCCCTGATCCATGATGCAAAAATTGCGCATGAAAAATTCGATGTTTGAAAATTTAAAAAGTTGAATGATTCTGAAAAGAGTTTATGTAATTTAATTTTTGTTCATTATTATTTTATTTACATAAATCGAAATCAAACTAACGTGATTGAACAGTTAAGGCTGAAACACACTAGGCAATCGCTTTAGTCGCGCGTCTGAAGGCTGAATGAAACACACTATAATAAAATTTACAACTTCCTGATTCCGACGATTCCGTTCTTTTCGCCAACAGTAACAAAACACAAGTTTTTATGTCGACGTCACCGAAATACACGACGTTCTATAATTCATTATATAAAAAATCCTTCAGATAAACTTGTATATGCCAGTATTCTGTTGTAGAACCAAAAGTGAAATGAAGATATGATCTTTGCACTTTGCTGGACAATTTAAGCAAGTGTCATATGAAAGAATTCGTGAAACGAAAGTCATATGAAATAATTATTTCATATGACATGAAAGGAATGTCATATGAAAGAATTCTTTCATGTGAAAGAAATGTCATATGAAATAATTCTTTCATATGACATGAAAGGAATAATTGCTTTGTCTGACTGGGTAACTATTATCTGAAGGACATCACTTGAGTCTATTGGACATATTTGAAAGGAATGTCATATGAAAGAATTCTTTCATATGACACTCCTTTCACGAGAAAACATGAGCCCAAGAAATTGACCTGCTCTCTTCTGTGTGACTTCATAGCTCAGTTGGTCAGAGCACTGCACCGGTACCGCAGAGGTCTTGGGTTCAAATCCCGTTGAGTCACCTGATTTTTTCAGGTTCATGAGACAATTGCTTAAATTGTCCAGCAAAGTGCGAAGATCATGTTTTCATTTAATATCAAACACCGCACTGTATAAAACATTCTTTCATAGAACCAAAAGTGGTAAAATATTATCATAGTTGTTTCACGTACGTTGGATAAGCAATGTCACCTTACGAGAGCAATTTCTCTCCCCCCCTCCCCCTTACCAACCATACCACACTCGACAATTTCACCTACTTGACTAACTTAGAATGCCGGTGATTCTCAGTAGCACATTGTTATCCTTTCTCTTGACAACTCAGTGACGCTGATAGTCTTGTGGTATAACTTAGGATGCTGGTGATCCTCAGTAGCACATTGTTATCCTTTCTCTTGACAACTCAGTGACGCTGATAGTCTTGTGGTCTAACTAAGGATGCTGGTGATTCTCAGTAGCACATTGTTATCCTTTCTCTTGACAACTCAGTGACGCTGATAGTCTTGTGGTCTAACTTAGGATGCTGGTGATCCTCAGTACCACATTGTTATCCTTCTCTTGACAACTCAGTGAGGCTGATAGTCTTGTGGTCTAACTTAGGATGCTGGTGATCCTCAGTAGCACATTGTTATCCTTTCTCTCGACAACTCAGTGACGCTGATAGTCTTGTGGTCTAACTTAGGATGCTGGTAATACTCAGTAGCACATTGTTATTCTTTCTCTTGACAACTCAGTGACGCTGATAGTCTTGTGGTCTAACTTAGGATGCTTGTGATCCTCAGTAGCACATTGTTATCCTTTCTCTTGACAACTCAATCAACCTTCAGCTGTGTGCCATTCAATTATAGGAATGTAGGAATGTCTAAATTCTGCATTTCACAGAAAACTCTTAGACACTGTTACCAATAGAGCAATGTAGGAACAAACTTGTCTTTGAACCATAAAAACTTTTTAAAAGGTTGAGAAGTAAAATGTTGGATATTTTCTTTTCATTCAATACATAAATATATACAATAAGTACTTGGTACAACAAATAAAATAGATAAAATTGATTGACTATATAAATTACAATTGTTCATTTATCCAGTTCCTAATTGATTTATCATTAACTTCTGCAGCAGCCACTGTTTCTTGACATGGCCAATGGGGGACTCTCATTTTTTCTTGTTTCACAGCAAGAAAAAATCGCTTTTACTCTAATGCGCATGCGTTAGTCATTGGTGTTGAAAACTGCAGGGCTCACCACAAGCAATATGCGTGTAAAAGAGAATAAATCTAAGGAAATTACTAACACCAATGAAAGTAATTTAAAATAAAAAATAAAAGTAAGAAAAATTAAAAATGAAAAAGTAAAAGTTGTAAAATAAATATGTAATAAAATAGAAAAGTATATATAATAAAATAGTAACAACACATAGAAATTCTCCTACGTCACGACCAAAGCTGATGACGATTTTTTTTTCTTTCAAAAAAAAAATTATAAATGACTTACCTCATCTTCCAGCAACACTTTACTTCGGAATGATCGGATTTAATTCTTCACACCAGTTTTGTTGTGTAGTATATCCATTGAGTTCTATAATAACTGGAGGGGAAACGTCAACAAAATTAGTATGAATTATTAGCGCGCGGCCGCGTGGTCAAAAACATGGCGGATTTTGGTGGTCAAAGTCAGCGGAGAGACGCGGGCTCATGAAATAAAATTTTTGTCGCCCACCCTGATTTGACCACCACGATTGCGAGTATAGAAAATATCAAAACTATTTATTTTCCTAACATAAACACTTTTTTAAAACTTTATTTATTAAACTGCCAACTTTTGTGGTTTGCGGATGCTGAAATAGTGACAGAAAAGGGAACATTTCTTGACTCCGGTAAGTAGCACAGTATTAGTTTTACTATTTTGTTTTTAACACGATACTTGAAGAGTGTTTCTACTACTAAGTTTTAATTTAAAGTTATTTTGGTCCAGTCTTGTTTGTTCTTCACTTAATCGCTCGCCAGACGTGGCGAAGCTGTCAATTTTTATCAAGTTTTGCATCCATCTTGTATCATGATCAAGGCATCAAGCTTAACTCTCCTGATTTGAATTGAGTTTACCTCCCAAAAATGGGGCATAATTTGTTCATGTTTTTTAAAGATGAAGGGAAAGTTTACAACAGAGTTGTGTTGAAATTGAATGCAGTGCCATTCAAAATTAATGAGAACTATGGTATATGTTGTATATTAAAATAACTAAACTGTTTGCCTGCTCAATTTGACTGACTGTATTGTGTAGACAATTATAATGGGATTGGAAAGTTGGATTTATGCAAACAATTTTAAAGTACTACTTAGCGTTTCTGTAAATGAAGTATTTATTGTTATAGTAAACAGGTTACTACTTCAAAACCAAGATAAAAGTAGTGTGTTGAACAATGTGCTAAGATTTGTTTCTACCTTGAAATTTTGTTCAACAGTAGCTTATGATTATATCATTAATATGCATGAAAATTAAACATATTATTGTCTCATCTCATTAAATCCATACTTGGTATGATTCCAGGTGATCCACAAATTCACATCGGATGCATTGGTTACAATGAAGTTGAATGTAGAAGAAGCAAAATAGATGGCAAAGAAATTCTTCATGTCTTATGAAGAATTAGTAGAAATCAATAAAAGAATTCTTTGAACACATTGTAAACAAATTTAAATTTGCTCATGGTCAAGCAACCTAGTCAAAGAAGCAAAGTCTGTCTTCAACATGTGACCTTTCCAATTATTTAGTTTCTTTGTACAAAATACTATTTTCGAGAAACTTGATTTGTAAGTCTTTAATTAATATTTTTTTTACCAAGAGATAAAAGGAACTAATTCAAAGGCTTGATATAAAATACAAAGATTTAACAAGTTGTTTATCATTTAATTCCCAAATGTTAGTTTGTACATATAAATAATTAGTATTGGTAGCTGTAAGTTGTTTAAGCAAAACAGAAGAGTAGTAGTGCTCAAGGGGGTTAGCATTTTTGAAAAATTATATCTTGTTCATGACATATATTACACAATTCAAAAAATTGTAAGTAATGCACAATAATATCTATAGAACTTATATGTTTGTAATGATGATCGTCCAGGTTATAAAGTCCTGAGAAGGATTTTTGATATTGTTGATGACGTTTCGACAACCTTAGCAGTAGTCATCTTCAGAGTCTTTGACTCTGAAGATGACTACCGCAAGGTTGTCGAAACGTCAGTCAACAATATCAAAACAGTCCTTCTCAGGATTCTGCCTGGACTGGATCATCATTTACAAACATATAACGATACTCCCAGGTTCAAACCATTTACTTAATATCTATAGAACTTGATAAATTTCTTCACCTACACTGTCAAATAACTATTTTGCCTTCATGCAGCAATAGACAGTGTTTTTGTCAGAGAAACCAATGCACTTTTAGTTTCCAAGTTTGTAATCAATGGAAAATTAATGTAGTTCTGTTCAGTAATAGATCCAAGATTCTGCCAAGCTGTTTACAAAATACAAATTACCAAGCAACAGTGTCATGGTGTTTTGAATTTTTCTTTTTGTAGCTCTTCTAGTTCAACATACTTTTATGCGTTTTCAGTAGATTTATCAGGTAATGACAATACACTTATACTTATCCATGGTAAATTTTCAGTTGACTTATGTCGTAGGACTGAAGCAAACATTTTCTCGCTTCCTTAGGAGCATTTTTACACAGATTTATCCATTTGAAGCAAGAAAAATATGTGCACCAAACTGTTTACAAACAGTCAAACACACAAAAGCATGAAATAATGTACAAGTTTGACGAGATTGACAGGTCTAGTAAAGAATGGCCGTTTGATTTTCACTTTTAAAAGGCTAAAATGTCATAAAATAACTTAAATGTTACAGCCAAAATATGCGTTTCTCTACCGTCGATCTTCTTTATTTTGATGTGTGTCTGTACTGTGTTTTTCACGCAATGCTAAAGCATTATTTTCACATGATATGCTGTCGGTATCGTAATTGTTTTTTTTCTCACTTGTTTTCGTTCATACAAAACAGTATTAGAAATCAGGAGGGAGTGAATATTGAAAAAAATTTTTAAAGTGGAAGTTTTGACCACCAAAATCCGCCATTACCGCCATGTTTTTGACCACGAGGCCCAGGCCCCTTTGCCCCTCCAGGTCTTATAGAGCTCAATGAGTATATCCCTCCAAAAAAAACCTGGCGTGAAAACCGAAAAAAGAAGCTTATTGGCCTGTGACAACCAATCAAATTCATGCATAACAATAAACTAATAGACAACCAGCTCAAGTAACTCGAAGCGCGTATTGTTTTGTGGTCTTAAGTGGCACGACATGTAAGCGTAATTTTGTATTTGTGGACGACAATGCAAAATCTATATTGTGCTGTTTCTTTTCGCCTTCAAAGTCAGACTAAAGACGCTATTTCTTTCAGAAATCTAGTACGGACGTTCAGGAGTATTCTGCCTCTAAAATTTTAAAAAAGACTGCTTTACTTTAGCAGTAATATCGTCGGAAGGTTTTGTCAACAACATCATGACAAAGAAGACTTTCAAGCTAAAATTTTGTTGCTTTATGTTTATGGTAGCGTATCTACGTCCATGTAATCTGAAAATAAAGTTGTTTGGTTGCATTTGAATGAAGCAAATGCTGATGTTCAATGTGCGATAGGCTTTGTTAAAGTTGGCAAAGATGCTTACATAGACTGCGGTCAAGCATAAGTTGTAGTTGCTTCTCACTGCAGCTTTGTCGTGTCAAAATACTGGATACTTTTCTATTTAATTTTATCAACAATATTTGTCTGAATCATTAAATACTTGGGAACATGCATGCTTCACTGAATTCGACTTAATGTTTCATGAAATAACTCGATGTTTGTAATAGTTCAATTTCAAAGTCTCGTGGAATAAAACTATTTCATTTTGTATGACAGTAATCAACCTTCAGTTATAATCAGGGAAATAGTAATTTTTCTTGAATTGTCGGATTGCTGTTGATTTGTATTTACAGCAGCCTTCTAAACAGGATGTTTCAAACTTTGATAACTTTTGCAATGGTTTTGGAAGTACCATTTAACACATTACATTTTAGTTGTACTGAGCATATGTAAGGTTTATGAAGGAAAGTCATGGTGCTATGTTATAGGACGACTGCGTGTTAGCCAAAGCCATCTTAACACAAGATTACATAATGGTTTGCACATTTAACATCAGTATGTGCTTGTTTCAAATGCGCATAAAGAACTTTATTTTCATATTTAATGAATGTAGAAACACAGTCCACAACGAAAAGCAACAATATTTTAGCCAATGATAGCTTTTGCAATGTTATAATTATTACTCGTACAATTCAAATTATCACAATCTCTTAGTTTGTTCTTTGCCACAAGTTGTTGAACAACGTCAGTTTTTCGAAATTTTCCGATGCAGAAGACTCCTGAACCTTTGTTTTCAAAAGAACTGTCGTCTTAAATCGTCTTTATTGACTTGAAAAGGCAACAAGTAAAGATCACCGACTTTCGCTTAGGCACGGTTCAAACGTTGTGCTTTTCATGTGCCGAACCTAATTCATATTTGTTACGGCAAAGAACGACGTGGCTCGACATCGATTTAAAAGTCGAACTTAATTTGTCGAATTTAATTGTTTATAGTAAGCCTTCGGTTGCTTTAGGTCTTGAAGTGTTAATTATGCAATACATGTAATACATTCATAGTGATTTACACACATCATATGACTTCTTGTTAAGTTGTTAGAAGTTTATTCAGTGTTTTTATTTTATCATATGTTCAAAAATGACGAAAACAAAACACCAAATCAGAACGGAAACTAGCTGAAGAATTTTTTTGATTCGTAGCATGTTTGAGCGAGCACAGAGTCGAAGGAAAATGGCAGAGTCGACACAGACTGTCCTTTGCCGCAGATGTGTTTGACTGAAATGAACGCTAAATGGCGCCAGTTATCACCAAACACGCGATGTTTAAAACTCGCCCTAGTTTTCTCGGCCAAAATATATTAAGTTCGGCACATGATAAGTTCGACGTTTGAACCGGACAGAACTTTCTTACTTATTTACTTCCGTGACTGATCACTTATTGAGTTAGTGCGCATGATCAGCAGCGGCACCAACCCGCTAATTTAGTCGTGCTATAAATTTTAGATCACTAACATTAAATTCATTTCTTTAGAAATCCATTGTTTTTACAGTGAGTGAACACAGAAAAATTTACATAGCACGACCAAATAAGCATGCGGGCAGGCTACGCTCCTGATGATCAGCAACTATTCACAACGAACATATTGTGGTCATCTGGTTTGTGATAAACAAATAGGTAAATTAAGGCACTGGGAGGTTTTTCTTCATTTTGAGGCAGCACTTTCACACAATTTAATTTACTATAAATTTAGGGGTCGCACGACCCTTAGGTACGTATAAACTGATACTGTTCATGTCGTTTGTAATATGCATATTAAAGTGAACTTGGAATCTTCATACCTCCATTCGCATCAAAAGCACCCTTTTCACATCATTAAACTTACTATAAATTTAGGAGTCGCACGACGCTTTTCGTACGCGTTATTTACCTGACAGTTTGTGAAAATTCATTAAATGTTTCAATACTTTTTAGCAGATGAAAAAAATCTCGAGGTGTATGGGTACATCGTATGAAAATTAATTTAAAACTTTTGCACAACAGCAAATAGAGCATCGAGCCTCGGCATTTAAGGCACGACAGCTAAATTCGATTGAAATTTATTTTCAACATGAGTAAAATAAAATAGATAAGCTTTCCTACCTCTTACAGCAACCTCTCTTCTGAAGTAGAAATCTCAACCTGACAACATGAAGATGTGAAGATGTTCGCTTTACCTTCATCGATTTACGTCACAGAATGGTGGGCGTCAATGTACATAATTATGATCAGAATCAGAATTTTCTTTGGGTGGTGAAATCACAAGGTTTTGATTGGTTCTTGTAAATGTTTATAAACTGCGTCGAGCTCATGACATCGTCAGATATCACTTACACTTTGACTTTCGTGATGGAAACATCTCCCAAGAGTCAAAACAAGCTCTGAACAGAAGCGGTATGAAATACATCAGATGAAAACGAAACAACACTATTTCATAAAACTAGTAATGTTTATTTTTATTGTTGCTTTGTCCATTTGCAATGTCGATAAAATCATAAAGGTTCTATCGTTTTGTGAACTTTTGTAATTTTACAGCGAACATCTTAATACACTTCCGCGTTTGAAATTTCAAATATTCTTGATTTCATTTAATGATATATAAAGTTAGAAAGTAGCTATAGAAATTTTCAACAAACTTCACTGACTGTATAAGTTCTGATACACAAAAAAGGCGAACGTCGAGATTAAGTCAAGATGAAATTTAACTTCCATTTCAACGACTACACATTTACAACAGTTTCGCGAAGGTCCAATTCATCTCAAGTTAAATATTTGAGGCTGTATTTTAACCATAATGGACCTTAAATAAATTTTCTCTCGAAATACTGACCATGAAACATTTATTTCTAATAGTCACATGAAAGATCGATATCTGTGTTGGGTTTTAACCGCAGGGTCATGTATAATAAAAATAAAACACAGTAACTTTTAAAACAAACCACAATTATTTATGCTTCACCTTGTTATTCTTCATCATCAGGATTATCATCATCACCATCAACTTCTGCATTTTGACATTCAAGTTTTTCCAGTTCCTTTGCAAAATCTGCTTCATCTATATCTGTGACAGCCTTTGGCTGAACAGATAACAATGATAAGCCATGATAGAAATTTATAGCTTAAATTTATCATTTGATATCAACAAATTTCTTGCATGAATGCAAAGGCATGGCAATAGGATTTACAAGTACATTTCAACCCCTAGTCTTGATTGCCATGTATCTGACATAATGAGAAGAACTGACAAAATAAACACAAAAGTAGATTGCTAAGCTCTTGGTCAGTAATGATCAAAGTTAAAAATCTGTGGGTAAAGTGAAGGTTTGAATAAACAATCAACTTGTAATGTGCCAATTTATCGCACACTAATCGACAGAGCATACAAACTTAACAATACAAACAATGGCTTTTAACGAGACATAAAAAAACATCACATCCACTCTTTTACAAAACTCTTTCCCACTACACTTTATTAACAGAACCGTAAAACGATATCTCGACAACAAACAAAGCAACAACCTCAAACTAGACACCGAAACTCCTGACACGACGATCACAACCAACACAAATGAAAATTCAAAATAACAACTCTATACTTCAAACTACCTACATCGAATATTACTCACGACACACACAGCGTAGACTTACAAACATTATGAAACGCTTCTGTACAGATATTGACATTCGACTAATTTTCACATCATTCAAAATCAAAAACCTTTTCTCATTCAAAGACCCAATCCCTGATTCAATTAAATCTATGGTGGTATATGAATTCAGTTGCGCGGGATGTAATTCCCGATACATTGGCGAAACTTTGGGCCATTTATCAACCAGAATCAAGGAACATACCACAACAGACAAAAACTCTCATATCTACCGACACCTTCTTAAATCTCACTCATGTAAAACCAACTATTCACCCTCTTGCTTCAAAATCATCGACACTGCCGAAACCTCATTCTCCCTTAAAATCAAAGAAGCACTCCACATTAACAAAAATAACCCTGACCTCAATGTTCAAGTTTTTAAATTCAATACAATATTTAGTTTATAATACGCTCGGACGCTCCCCATTAATTTATCTTATTTCCTTTTTATTGTTGTAATTTATGTATCATATTACTTTTATATAAACCTTGTATTGTTTATTATTTCACTCATACTGAAGATGGCATCATGAGATGTCGAAACATGTCTATTGTAATTCACAAATAAACGACTGTTAATGAAGTCATACTTGAACTTTGATAATGTCCCATTTTTAATACAGCATGGTACTTAGGGAAGCGGTAACAGGATGATATGACGATAGTAGAGGATGTCAGTTTAGTGATACAGCAGTGTTCGAATTAGTTCAGAAAAAACGATGTGCAATTTTTTTTGACAAAAGTGTTTCTTTAGATGCATATTACGTTAATTATTATATAGCGCTAATTGCTAAATTAATATTTTTAAACGTGAACAAATTCATATGATTTACGACAGTGTTTTTCGTTACAACCGCTGATCGAGTTACAAATGTATGAGAGAAATTTTTTTCGCATGTTATTCTCTCCTCTTTTTTGTGCAAACTTTACAACGCAATAAATTCACAACTTGGCCATCATCCTAGCACTCAAACTAGTCAGCATTTGATGTTTCCGTCCATTTTTTTACTGTATTAACTTTGCTGGTAGCTACAACCTTTCGACGAAGATGACAAGAAAGACAAAAGTGAAAAGTGTAAAAGCAAAAAGTATGACTGATCAAGGTTGCCAGTTTGGCTTAAAATTTTGAGCCATTAATGTTTTTCTCACGCTAGGCTTATTTAAAATCAAAATTCCTTTTGGTTTATTTTTTAAATTTGGCTTATTTAAGTTTCTTTTTTGTCTTCTTTCAAGAATCAAAATAAAAATATTTCCTGATTTTACTGAAAATACTCAAAAAAGCTATGATGCCAAAAACAGTACGTAACGGTTTACAAAACAACGCAAATGCAAAAATTGACAATAATGTATTACACCCCTATTCTCATAAGCATATAAGCACCATGTATGTTGACTGTTGATAGACTTACTAATCTCAAAGTGACAACGTCTTTGAACTTGATGACATTGTGTAAAATGAATTTTAATGTCGCAGCGCACTCGTTTATAAAGTAAAGATCAGTAAAGATTAAGCTTGAAAACTTTTTCAATTTATGTAGTAGTAATCAATAATGAAGTTTTTGCATATCGTTTGAAAAAGTGAAGTGCAATTGTTTTCATTTTAGCTAAAACAATGTGCAAATTGCACATTGCACACCTTTAATTCGCACACTGGTGATATCATTGATTTTAAATAAGCCTAACAAGAGAAAAAGAAGCCAAATTTGGCTCAAAACATTAAGCCAAACTGGCAACCTTGATTAGCCATACTTTTTGCTTTTATATATTGTTTGTAATATGACATAAATATGATGTTTTTTATCGTAAGTAAACATCAAGGATGTTACTGTTAATAATCAGAAAGCAAAAGTATATTTGGTGTTTCTCTTTTCACTTTTGTCTTTCTTGCCATCTTCGTCGAAAGGTTGTAGCTACCAGCAAAGTTAATACAGTAAAAAAATGGACGGAAACATCAAATGCTGACTAGTTTGAGTGCTAGGATGATGGCCGAGTTGTGAATTTATTGAGCTGTAAAGATTGCACAAAAGAGGAGAGAGTAACATGTGCAAAAAATTTCTCTCGTACATTTGTAACTGGATCAGCGGTTGTAATGAAAAAGACTGTTGAAAATCATATGAATTTGTTCATGTTTAAAAATACTAATTTAGCAAATAGCGCTATATAATAATTAACGTAATATCGATTTGATTATGCCTCTAAAGAAACACTTTTGTCAAAAAAAAATTGCACTACTGGATATCACAATGCAATATTAGCTTTAAGAAAAACTAATTTTTGCTTACAGTTAACATAAATTATTGCCAATGTCACATGGTCCTAATATTATTGATTTCAATGCATTGGGATGGTGCCATTGTAATTTTTAAATAAACGACTCATGATTGAACATGTCCGTCTTAATACATCATGGGGTACTTAGGGAAATGGTAACAGGATGATATGAGGATACTAGAGGTACCAGGGGGATGTCATTTTATTGATACAATATACTTTTCATAGAAATATAAACCAAACACTTACAGCTTGTTGTAGAACAAATGTTCCTTTCTTGTTCATAATGACTTCTTCAATGGCTTTGATAGATGTTTCCAAAGCTTTCAAACCTTCTTCTCGATTCATTTTTGTTGTCATGACAACATAGGTTGGTGGTGAAATGGGATTTATCTTAAAGAAGAAAACAGTTTACAATCAAACAGTGATATTTTCAAAAGATCTTTTATCATTGTATGTTACTTAGGCCTGGCACAGCTATTGTAAGATATAAGTACATTGCTGTGCAGATTGGAACATTTATAAATAATTAAATCTTGTTTTCGTGAACATCAAAATGTTCATCCTCATTGTGTTTATGTAGCAATATTGCAATTTGATGCATTTCAATGAGAATGATCTGTCATATTGTATTGAATTTAAAAACTTGAACATCAAGTTTTTAAATCTCATATCTACCAACACCTTGTTGAATCTCACTCATGTAAAACCAACTATTCACCCTCTTGCTTCAAAATCATCGACACTGCCGACACCTCATTCTCCCTTAAAATCAAAGAAGCACTCCACATTAACAAAAATTAACTCTGACCTCAATGTTCAAGTTTTTAAACTCAATACAATATTTAGTTTATAATACGCTCGGATGCACCCCATTAATTTATCTTATTTCCTTTTTATTGATGTAATTTATGTATCATATTACTTTTATATAAACCTTGTATTGTTTATTATTTCACTTATACTGAAGATGGCATCATGTGATGTCGAAACATGTCTATTTTTAAAAAACTTGTCGTTTATATTAAATGAGTTTTAAAATTCAAAAGGAGTAAAGATCTTATTGACTTTGAAATTCAAAAATTTCAATAAACCTTCCACTCACTGTCTCAAAAAGATGTGAAATTGAGTGTGTGATGAGTAGAGTTTGAAAGGTTTATTGCAATTTTTATATTTCAAGGTCATTGTTGTATAGGCTGTGTTTCATAAAGGCTATGTATCCATTTAAAATCTTGATGTTCTTATTATGATCTTGTAGCATTACCTTTGCTCTCTTTGGTATGGTTCATATGACATAATAAAATGTATTTACAACTAATATCGTAAATGTATTTCTTATTGTTTCACAATAGTGAAGGTGAATGGGTTATCTACACACTTGGAAATCTCCACACTTGCACAGTTTTGCAAAAGAAGCATTTACATTCTAATAAAAAAGGTTTCCTTTAGTAAAGTAAAAAGCCGACAATTATGACCTTATGATTCATAAGAGCCTTCTTATATCGAAACTTAAACCCTCTCTTAACACCCAAGGCAACTCAATCTCCCTTCACCCTCTTTAATATACCGCCCTTCTCATTTCATTCCGTCATCTAAACTTCCTACTCACCTCACATGTAATTTAACACCCTGTAATATATCCTTGTATTTAAAACCTCATGCATCACGTGAGATCAAGTTGGGGAATTGTCGTTATCCTGCGAATGTAAGTTTTCGGCAAATAGTGAAAAAGATTCTTTATTAAAATTAGCATATTATACGTTTTACAGACGTAATAGAGTCCATTCTATCTAAATAGTTATTTTAACAAATTTTAACTCCATAGTTTGTGCATTTCTACATTTCTACATTTCTAGAAATAAAATAATTCTACATATAAAGTCAAACTTACAGTTCATCAGGAATTGATGGTAGATTTAAATTATATATTTCAACACTAAAGTCCAAATATAAAACCTCAAGCAAGATATTAAAAAGTTCAGCATAACTGTCAACGTCTGATTCCATCCCTACTTGATCTCCAACAAGATTCTCCTGCAGAACGTTTTCTTCGCGGGAATTGTTTTCGTCTTGTTGCTCATGCCCCAGTCCTTCGTGAAGTTCGTCTTCATTTCTATTCTCATCCTCATTTGAGTCAAAATTGGAATTTTTATCGTTTTTGTTCATATCTTTATTTTACATATGCTAATGTGACTCGCAAACTTTACCAACAAATGTTGCTTTCGATGAGGAGGTGCTCCGTCACAAGCCAGCTACCACTTACTTTGGTGTAATCCAAAGGACGTCCTTATACATCACTGCCTTGCAGAAACTCAGAGACTCAGCAAAACTGTTCACGTTACCAATCACGTTCATCCAGTCGAATGCCAATTGCAGAAAAGACCAGAAAGTCGGACATGGCAAAACGCCATTATTGGGAAAGCGAAGCCCCGAGAAGCATTTTAGTAGATGTGTGTGATGTAGGTGTGATGTTGTGTGCGTGTACAACAAAACAGTCCTTCTCAGGACTATACCAACCTGGACGATCTACATCTACAAACATGTAACGATACTCCGGGTTCAAACCATTTACTTTAACCAGTAAATGGTTTGTGAACTCGGCAATATTTAGGTGTACATCAATCTATGACGACGAAAGTCGCCAATTCTTCAACTTCGCTAACCGAATCACTCGAATGTATTTGGATTTATCTTACTTGAAATTTATTTCTATAAATGTGTTTCTATCAATGCATTCACAATTTCAAACTTGTCAGATTTTTCATTATACCGCACTAAAGATGGCATAAGTTTGCCGAAAAATGTCTGCAATAAAAAACTTAAAAAAAGTTGTCATTTATGTTAAATGCGTCATTTCAATCGTGCCATTACGAAATTAGGGAAATTAGAAAATTATGTTAAAATGTGGAATTTGTTTGTTAAGATCTGGTTTTTGTTTGCGTGTGTCTAAGGCTTTGAGTTTTAGAGAAAATTGAGTGTAATATTCAACTTTGTCTCCATCACACTTATGATATTTGCCGTGTAAATATCACTAATATTTTATCAAACCTTCTCCTTTTACTGATTAACGCGTATCAAGCATCCTATGATAAATTTAGCATTTTAAATAACTTTACTTTATTCTTCATTTCAATCATGCCATTGCAAAATTATGGAAATATTCATATAATTGTAAATATAGGAGAAGCCCCTGATCCATGATGCAAAAAATTGCGCATGAAAAATTCGATGTTTGAAAATTTAAAAAGTTGAATGATTCTGAAAAGAGTTTATGTAATTTAATTTTTGTTCATTATTATTTTATTTACTTAAATCGAAATCAAACTAACGTGATTGAACAGTTAAGGCTGAAACACACTAGGCAATCGCTTTAGTCGCGTGTCTGAAGGCTGAATGAAACACGTTATAATAAAATTTACAACTTCCTGATTCCGACGATTCCGTTCTTTTCGCCAAAAGTAACAAAACACAAGTTTTTATGTCGACGTCACCGAAATACACGACGTTCTATAATTCATTAAATAAAAAACCCTTCAGATAAACTTGTCTATGCCAGTATTCTGTTGTAGAACCAAACGTGAAATGAAGATATGATCTTTGCACTTTGCTGGACAATTTAAGCAAGTGTCACATGAAAGAATTCGTGAAACGAATGTCATATGAAAGAATTCTTTCATATGACATGAAAGGAATGTTTGCTTTGTCTGACTGGGTAACTATTATCTGAAGGACATCACCTAGTCTATTGGACATATTTGAAAGGAATGTCATATGAAAGAATTCTTTCATATGACACTCCTTTCACGAGAAAACGTGAGCCCAACAAAATTGAATTCTTTCATATGACACTCCTTTCACGAGAAAACGTGAGCCCAACAAAATTGAATTCTTTCATATGACACTCCTTTCACGAGAAAACGTGAGCCCAACAAAATTGAATTCTTTCATATCACATTCCTTTCATGGGAAAAAATGAGCCGAACAAATTGACCTACTCTCCACTGTGTGACTTCATAGCTCAGTTGGTCAGAGCACTGCACCGGTACCGCAGAGGTCATGGGTTCAAATCCCGTTGAGTCACCTGATTTTTTCAGGTTCATGAGACAATTGCTTAAATTGTCCAGCAAAGTGCGAAGATCATGTTTTCATTTAATATCAAACACCGCACTGTATAAAACATTCTTTCGTAGAACCAAAAGTGGTAAAATATTATCAACGTTGTTTCACGTACGTTGGATAAGCAATGTCACCTTACGAGAGCAATTTCTCTTCCCCTCCCCTTAACAACCATACCACACTCGACAATTTCACCTGCTTGACTAACTTAGAATGCCGGTGATTCTCAGTAGCACATTGTTATCCTTTCTCTTGATAACTCAGTGACGCTGATAGTCTTGTGGTATAACTTAGAATGCCGGTGATTCTCAGTAGCACATTGTTATCCCTTCTCTTGACAACTCAGTGACGCTGATAGTCTTGTGGTCTGACTAAGGATGCTGGTGATCCTCAGTAGCACATTGTTATCCTTTCTCTTGACAACTCAGTGACGCTGATAGTCTTGTGGTCTAACTTAGGATGCTGGTGATCCTCAGTAGCACATTGTTATCCCTCTCTCGACAACTCAGTGATGCTGATAGTCTTGTGGTCTAACTTAGGATGCTGGTGATCCTCAGTAGCACATTGTTATCCTTTCTCTCGACAACTCAGTGACGCTGATAGTCTTGTGGTCTAACTTAGGATGCTGGTGATCCTCAGTAGCACATTGTTATCCTTTCTCTCCACAACTCAGTGACGCTGATAGTCTTGTGGTCTAACTTAGGATGCTGGTGATCCTCAGTAGCACATTGTTATCCTTTCTCTCGACAACTCAGTGACGCTGATAGTCTTGTGGTCTAACTAAGGATGCTGGTGATTCCCAGTAGCACATTGTATCCCTTCTCTACACAACTCAATCAACCTTCAGCTGTGTGCCACTCAATTATACGAATGTCTAAATTCTGCATTTCAATGAAAACTCTTAGACACTGTGACCAATAGAGCAATGTAGGAACAAACATGTCTTTGAACCATAAAAACTTTTTAAAAGGTTGAGAAGTAAAATGTTGGGCATTCTCTTTTCATTCAATACATAAATATATACAACATGTACTTGGTACAACAAATAAAATAGATAAAAGTGATTGACTCTATAAATTACAATTGTTCATTTATCCAGTTCCTAATTGATTTATAATTGACTTCTGCAGCAGCTTCTGTTTCTTGACATGGCCAATGGGGGACCCTCATTTTTTCTTGTTTCACAGCAAGACATCTGTCAACGTGTTGTGGACTATAAATGTGAATGAACATGTTATCATGTGAACATGAACATGTTAGCGATTAACTTTAAACGCGATAATCCCATATGGGAACGTGGCAATAATCGCAGTAAAACGAAGACTAACAAACGCGATATAATTTTTGATATTTATTCGCGTTAATCGCCAAAATGACGTCATCTTGAATGAAAATTTTGTAGTATAAAATGGCGGATTCAACATGTGTTCAATCACTTAACCCCAGAAAGTTGGCCGAGAAAGTGCGTAAGTTTCCCTGCTTGTATAATAAAACATTTAAGGATTATAAAGACAAGTTTGGCGGGCAAATGCTTGGGCAAGAGTGGCAGAAAATCTGAATCTATTGGAAGGTAAAACAATTTTCATTTGACTGTGAAGACGACTACCGCTAAGGTTGTCGAAACGTCAGTCAACAACAACAAAAACAGTCCTTCTCAGGACTATACCAACCTGACGATCTACATTTACAAACATGTAACGATACTCCCGGTTCAAACCATTTACTTTTAATAATTGGTGAGCTAGCCAAAAATTGTTTGAAAATTTAAAAAAGAGATTCAGCAAGCGAAGAAATGACTTTAAAAAAGTAAATAAATCTGGAACATCTCTGTCAGCTGTTGTTTCCTCTAAAACAAAATTGGAGGACTATAATTTTCTACAATGGTTAGTACCATACATAAAGTCTGGAGCAACAAAAACTAATTTGTCAGTATGAACTACCAGCAGCCGCTCGACAAGTAATTGTAGTTTGTTAACCAATGATAAAATTGAGCACGTCAGCTTACTAAATGAAGACAATGACTGTCAACGAATAAAGCCAGATGAAGTATTTGATGATAACATTACTGATATATTTGATACAACTGGACATAAAAAGTAGTGAAAGACAAAAGTTGATGTTGAGCAAGAAGAAATACAGTTTCTTCGTACAATGGAAAAAGCAATTAGGCATCAAAACGAAAGCAAAAACGTGGAAAAAGATGAAAACGATTTATTTGGAATGCTTGTTGCCTCCCAGTTGAAGAAGTTAAATACACATGAACAGGCCATTGCTAAGCATCAGATTCAAAATGTTGTTTTCAATATGCAAATGAATCAAAACCCAACAACGAATTGTTCTCTTAAGAATCAGGTTTTATAAAGACTGCACCCACCAATGATGGAGAACCGCTCATTGTCTCAGCCATTTTGTGTTTCTTTACACAAACCTGCAGAATATCTTCCTTTGGTCATTTGCTGAACGACCATCACCTGTAATTGGACATTTGATGTAATCGCACTTCTCTCATTCCGAAAATAGTTCCCTGCTCATGGAGCCTTTACAGCCTATCCTTCCAGCCCTGAAGTATTGAGTAACTGCAACAAAGTCTTGTCTATTGCTCTTGCCACATAAATACAATTCTTGGAAACCTTTCAAATTATTTGGGCGTAAACAAAAAATGAGAAGGGCTGCTTCTGTTGTATTAGAATATTGTGTTAATGAGTATTCATAATCATTTGCCATGTAGAAACCATCTCTATGTGACAAGTCACACTTTTCACCACCTTTACCTAATTTAATGCCATTCTCAAGAATATTCTGAGCAGACGAATGATTAGTGCCATGGAAATAGAACTCATTATCTTTGTCTTCGTTTTTCTTTAATTTTTCAACCTCCTTAATGCATCCAATTGCTTCATCTTTGTTACTTGCATTAAAAATCTTTACTTCTTGATTAATTCTGTTCTCTGCATCATTAAAATGTGAAAATTCTTGCAAACCAACCGTTTAGGTAGTTTCCATTGTACGGAAAAAGAGGAAAGGGGTCATTCGTAAATATAGTACATTTGAAAAATTTCTTAATGTAGGTTCCAAGTAAAACTGTCATTGATTGATCATCAAGATGAGACAGAATAAGAGAGAGTGTATTTTCTCCTTCACTTTTCATGATCTCTTTTTCAACCAACTCATTCGACATGTAAAGCAAGCTCACAATATCGTACATCAGGTCTAGAAAGGACTTGCCAGGTCTTTTGGAACATAGCAGTGATCGTTTGGTTGTATTGTGGTACAACATTCTTTTGTGGATAAATGGTGTAGACGTCTCTCATTATTGATTTTGATAAACACGGAGACATTCATTGGTTGTATTGTGGTACAACATTATTCTTTTGTGGATAAATGGTGTAGACGTCTCTCATTATTGATTTTGACAAACAAGGAGGAATTCATTGGTTGTATTGTGGTACAACATTACTCTTTTGTGGATGAATGGTGTAGATGTCTCTCATTACTGATTTTGATAAACACGGAGACATTCATTGGTTGTAATGTGGTACAGCATTATTCTTTTGTGGATAAATGGAGTAGACGTCTCTCATTATTGATTTTGATAAACAAGGAGACATTCTAAAGAACATCATAGATACTTATGAAAGAATGTTTTCTAACTTATGTTTATAAGATCATATCTTTATTTTATCATAGATACTCTTACAAAAATACACAGAAAAAATGAATAACATTAATTAGAAACCTTTCAAATATTTAAAGCGAGGAGTCGATACGTTCACATTCACAATGGCTGCAGTTGTAAACGTTTATTTATTTGCATCAAAATTCCTTCAAAGCTTATGAAGGAATCGCAATACGAAGGTTTCACGACATTGAATCTAGCAGAAAAGTATATATTTTTAGTGTTGTGCATATTGTGAAAAGTATATATTTTTAGTGTTGTGTATATTTTAGTACAAACGTGAAACTTCCGTTGTGGGAAACGTTATTTTGCGTAATTTTGCCTCATGTAATTGAAATTTTTGTTGAGATATTTTTTCATCAAACGAATAAGTAAATTTGATCGTGGACTTACGATAAACATTTCAACTATTGCAAAAACTTCGAAATATCAAACGGAAAATTTAAATCAAATGTAACATGCTCCAATGCACCACAGCTAAGAGGAAGTGATAATTTGTGCTATGTGGCTACATCATTTATAACCAAATACCAAAGAATGAATTAATTATTTTCAAAATTCAGAGTGTATTAAAAACAAGCTACAAGTAATCTTTTGATCCATAATAATGACTTTGAAAGTTTCAACACGATAATTTTTACACTAAATTATTTGCACTCAGGAGAACTTTATATGCCTCGCAATAGATTTGTTTAAAATCAAAGCAAGAGTCAATACATACTTCAAAATTTATCACACAATTGTCACTAAGCGTGACTAAATATTATAAAACATGTTTCGATGTTTAAAGTGTTAAGTGTTCTTGAAATTGACGCCTCCTATTATAACTGGTTTAAATACTTTCATGCTTCCTATAAGTATACATGTTTGTTGTTTATGTTTTGACACCATGCATGAGCCGTTCAAAGAATAGATTATGTCACAATTATACCCAAATGCATTGAACATAGTTGCATTTACATATAAATATTTTGGTTTCTGCTTTATTATTGGAACGACAACGTGAATGACGTCGTATTCATCAAAATTTACAAAACTCCATTCTAACGTTAACTAAGAATGTTTACTTACTTTTACAGAAGGATAACAGCTGGTATTTTACAAATTTTATATAAATACGAACTGAACGACATTGAATCTAGCAGACAAATCTATATTTTAGTGGTTTGTATATTAATGTTAGTAAACACGACACTTTTCAATGCGAAGCTAGTACAGTTGATTTTCATGTTTTTATTTTGAGCAACGTTGGCAATCATCGAACAGATTTGCAAATTTGATCGGGAACTTTCGAGAAACATAAGCACTTTTGAACAAACTTCAAAGTATTACGCGAAAAAGTTGAGATAAATGAAATGTTTAAAGTGTTCAGGAAATTGACGCCCCCTTGTTATAACTGGTTTAAATATTTTCACGTTCCTAATAAGTACATAGATGTTAGGTCGTCAACGTTTTGATACCAGGATACGGCGCATAAAACCGGTCAAAAAAATAGATATTTGAAGCTATTGACGACAGCCCAGCACAATTTTCTTTGTATGATGAAAACTGTCACAATTATACCCAAATGCGTTGAACATAGTTGCAATTACAAATACATTTTTCATTGGTTTCGCTTTCATTATGGAAACGACGACGAATATTGTTGTCTGAATTCATCAAAATTTACAAAACTCCATTCTAACATTAACTAAGAATGTTTACTTACTTTTACAGAAGGATAACAGCTGGTATTTGGCAATTTTTATATATCTACGAACTGAGGAGCTTTGATGGACGGCGTACTATCCAGAATGAAATGACAAGAATCGCGTCGGTACCAGACCTCTGACGTAGTTTTTCCGGTAATTCCGATAATTACCATCGACCACGAGCCGAAGATTTCCGGTGATCCTTAGAGTACCCCATCAAGTCAAATAAAAATGTTAGTTAGGATAATAAAATATAATAATGACCTCTTTCCTGAATAAGTTTAAATCATTTTAAGATTTTTACATTTCTGATCTCTATGAAGGCTTATTTTTGTTAAAACTGATAATTTTATGTCAACAGACACAATAGAAAAACAGTTGTCCAATTATATGTAATACATATTAAAGATCATTTCATATAACCAATCAAAAACCATAAAACATTTTGTATGAAACATGTTTAGCTCCTAAGATAAACATAAAGTACTATTCATTCTCGTATGATACGCGTATCGTTCTCGACATACACGTAAAGCGTATGTTAACAAATACGCGAGCGGTAAATTGTAATACAGCATGGGTACTTAGGGAAGTGGTAACGAAAGGATATGAGTATGAGAGGTACCAGGGGATGTCATTTTAGTGATACAATATACTTTTCATAGAAATATAAACCAAACACTTACAGCTTGTTGTAAAACAAATGTTCCTTTCTTGTTCATAATGACTTCTTCAATGACTTTGATAGATGTTTCCAAAGCTTTTAAACCTTCTTCTCGATTCATTGTAGTTGTCGTGACAACATAGGTTGGTGGTGAAATGGGATTTATCTTAAAGAAGAAAACAGTTTACAATCAAACAGTGAAATTTTCAAAAGATTATTTATCATTGTATGGTATTTAGGCCTGGTGCAGCTATTGTAAGATATAATCACATTGATGTGCACATTTGGAACATCTATAAATAATTAAATCTTGTTTTCGTGAACATCAAAATGTTCATCCTCATTGTGTTTATGTAGCAATATTGCAATTTGATGCATTTCAATGACAATGATCTGTCATATTGTATTGAATTTAAAAACTTGAACATCAAGTTTTTAAATCTCATATCTACCGACACCATCTTAAATCTCACTCATGTAAAACCAACTATTCCCCCTGTTGCTTCAAAATCATCGACACTGCCAAAACCTCATTCTCCCTTAAAATCAAAGAAGCACTCCACATTAACAAAACTAAATCTGACCTCAATGTTCAAGTTTTTAAATTCAACACAATATTTAGTTTATAATACGCTTGAACTCTTCCCATTAATTTATCCTATTTCCTTTTTATTGTTGTAACTTATGTATCATATTACTTTTATAAAAACCTTGTATTATCTATTATTTCACTTATACTGAAGATGGCATCATGAGATGTCGAAACATGTCTTTTTTCAAAAAACTTGTTTATATTAAATGATTTTTATACTTCAAAAGGAGTAAAGATCTTTTTGACTTTGAAATTCAAAAATTTCAATAAACGTTCCACTAACTGTCTCAAAGAGATGAGAAATTGAGTGTGTGATGAGTAGAGTGTGGAAGGTTTATTGCAATTTTTATATTTCAATGTCATTGTTGTAAAGGCTGTGTTTCATATTAACTTATCCATTTAAAATCTAGATGTTCTTATTATGATCTTGTAGCATTACCTTTGCTCTCTTTGGTATGGTTCATATGACATAATAAAATGTATTTACAACTAATATCGCAAATGTATTTATTATTGTTTCACAATAGTGAAGGTGAATGGGTTATCTACGCACTTGGAAATCTCCACACTTGCACAGTTTTGCAAACGAAGCATTTACATTCTAATAAAAAAAGGCTTCCTTTAGTAAAATAAAAAGCCGACAATTATGACCTTATGATTCATGAAAGCATTCTTATATCCAAACTTAAACCTCTCTTAACACCCAAGGCAACTAATCCTCTTCACCTTTTTTAATATACCGCCATTCTCATTTCATTCCTTCATCTAAACTTCCTACCCCTCATGTAATTTAACACCTTGTAATATTGCTTGTATTTAAAATCTCATGTATATATTATATCTCAATTAATCTGAAGATGTCTAAGTTAAAGACGAAACGTATTATTAAAAAACCTTTAATCTTTCTTTATTTTATTATTGTGATGGCTTTTTAAATGTCTTATGTTGGGCTATTGTGTTCATATTGAAAAAGTAAAAAACATTGTCGTTAAATAATGGAAATAAAAGTCATACGTATAAGAAAATTTTTGCAGTAAACGCAAAAGTAGGGCGCAAACTCAGTAAATTTATGAATATTTTGCACAAACCTTGTAAGATCAAGCACAGAATGTATTGCTTCAACTTTTTCTTCGTTCGGTTCTGGTTCTTTCACGTTAACATTTCCAGGTTAAATGCAAATAAACAAATTACTCCCCAAACATTGTAGTTATAAGACAATACAGCAATGTTCTTCTCCCAATTTTCCGCTCTGTTTGACTCCAATTCAGCGACCAAAAGCAATGGAATACAATCAAAGAAAGAACCAAAAGTCTTAATGCTCTCACCCAAATCTCACTAAGAAACGACACGTACATTGCATATTCCTTTGTGTTGGATCTATGGACGACTGAACATTGCCATGTAATAAAGAACCGAGTAAAACCACAAAGTACGCCGAATAAAATGAAAAATAATATCATATGTTGTTTTGCATGTTTTAATCCATTGTAGCAACGTTATCGTGAAATCATTATCGAAATTTTGTAGCTCTGATAACAATTTGAAGCAATAAATAAACTTTTAATCACAAACGCTCAACAAGAGTGAAGTGAATTCAATAGCAAAGCCCTGTACGGGCTTGAATTCAAAAGTGAAGTGAATTCAAAGTCAGCTACGCCGTCAAAGTCAGCTACGCCGTCAAAGTCAGCTACGCCGTCAAAGTCAGCTGCGCCGTCAAAGTGAGCTACGCCGTCAAAGTGAGCTACGCCTTCAAAGTCAGCTACGCCGTGAAAGTCAGCTACGCCTTCAAAGTGAGCTACGCCGTCAAAGTGAGCTACGCCGTCAAAGTCAGCTACGCCGTGAAAGTCAGCTACGCCGTGAAAGTCAGCTACGCCGTCAAAGTCAACTACGCCGTCAAAGTCAGCTACGCCGTCAGTGAGTTACTTCAAAGTGAGCTACGCTGTCAAAGTGAGCTACGCTGTCAAAGTGAGCTACGCTGTCAGTGAGCTACGCCTTCAAAGTGAGCTACGTCAAAGTCAACTACGCCGTCAAAGTCAGCTGCCTTCAGTCAGCTACGCCGTCAAAGTCAACTACGCCGTCAGCGGAGCTACGCCTTCAAAGTCAGCTACGCCGTCAAAGTCAGTTGCGCTGTCAGTCAGCGCCGTCAAAGTCATTACGCTGTCAAAGTCAGCTGCGCCGTCAAAGCGGAGCTGCGCCGTCAGCTGAGCTACGCTGTCAAAGTGAGCTACGCCGTCAGCGAGCTACGCCGTCAGCGAGCTACGCTGTTAAAGTCAGCTACGCCGTGAAAGTCAGCTACGCCAGGAAAGTCAGCTACGCCTGAAAGTCGCTACGCCAGGAAAGTCAGCTACGCTGTCAAAAAGTCAGCTACGCCGTGAAAGTCAGCTACGCTGTGAAAGTCAGCTACGCCGGAAAGTCAGCTACGCTGTGAAAGTGAGCTACGCCGTCAAAGTCAGCCACGCTTGTCAAAGTCACTGCGCCGTCAAGTGAGCTACGCCGTCAGTGGAGCTACGCTGTCAGGACGCTGTCAGTGAGCTACGCTGTCAGCGGAGCTTTACGCTGTCAGCGATTACGCCGTCAGAGCTACGCCGTCAAAGTCAACTACGCTGTCAGTCAGCTACGCCGTCAAAGTCAGTTGCGCTGTCAGTCAGCTACGCTGTCAAAGTCATTGCGCCGTCAAAGTCAGCTACGCTGTCAAAGTCAGCTACGCCGTCAGCGGATCTTACGCCGTCAAAGTCAGCTGCGCCGTCAAAGTCAGCTACGCCGTCAAAGTCAGCTACGCCGTCAAAGTCAGCTGCGCCGTCAAAGTCAGCTACGCCGTCAAAGTCAGCTACGCCGTCAAAGTCAGCTGCTGTCGTCAGCTACGCTGTCAGCAAAGGAGCTACGCCGTCAGCGAGATTACGCTGTCAGCGAGCTACGCCGTCAGCGGAGCTACGCCGTCAAAGTCAGCTACGTCAAAGCGAGCTACGCCTTCAGCAAGCTTACGCCGTCAAAGCGGAGCTACGCCTTCAAAGTGAGCTACGCCGTCAAAGTCAACTACGCCGTCAAAGTGAGCTACGCCGTCAAAGTGAGCTACGCCGTGAAAGTCAGCTACGCCAGAAAGTCAGCTACGCCGTGAAAGTCAGCTACGCCGGAAAGTCACGCCGTGAAAGTCAGCTACACCGTGAAAGTCAGCTACGCTGTCAAAAGTCAGCTACCCCGTGAAAGTCAGCTACGCCGTGAAAGTCAGCTACGCCGTGAAAGTGAGCTACGCCGTGAAAGTGAGCTACGCCGTGAAAGTGAGCTACGCCGTCAAAGTGAGCTACGCCGTCAAAAGTGAGCTACGCCGTCAGTGCGGACTACGCCGTCAAAGGAGCTACTGCCGTCAAAGTCAACTACGCTGTCAAAGTCAGCATGTTGTTGCAGCTTTGCGTTGTCAGTCGCTACGCTGTCAAAGTCATGCGTCAAGTCAGCTACGCCGTCAAAGTTCACGCTGTCAGTGATCACGCTGTGCAAAGTCAGCTTGCTGTCAAAGTTACACGGCTAAAGTCAGTTACGTTGTCAAAGCCAGCAGCGTTAAAGTCAGCACGCTGTCAAAGTCAGCTACCGTCAGTCAGCTGCCGCGGAGCACGCCGTCAAGTGAGCTACGCCGTCAAAGTCACACGCTGTCAAAGGAGCTACGCTGTCAGTGAGCTACGCTGTCAAAAGTCACATGCCGTCAGCGGAGCTACGCCTTCAGTGAGCTATTGCCGCGGAGCTACGCTTCAAAGTGAGCTACGCCGTCAGTCAACTACGCTGTCAGCGGAGCTACGCCGTCAAAGTGAGCTACGCCGGAAAGTCACACGCCGTGAGCCAGCCATCGCCAGGAAAGTCAGCTACGCCGGAAAGTCAGCTACGCCGTGAAAGTCAGCTACACCGTGAGTCAGCTACGCTGTCAAAAGTCAGCTACCCAGGAAAGTCAGCTACGTCAGAAAGTCAGCTACGCCGTGAAAGTCAGCTACGCCAGAAAGTGAGCTACGCCAGGAAAGTGAGCTACGCCTGAAAGTGAGCTACGCCGTCAGCTGAGCTACGCCGTCAGCGAGCTACGCCGAAAGTGAGCTACGCCGTGGAAAGTGCTACGCCGTCAAAGTCAGCTTCGCCTGTCAGCGAGCTACGCTGTCAAAGTGAGCGCTACGCCGTCAGTGAGCTAACGTCAAAGTCAGCTTCGCCGTCAAAGTGAGCTACGCCGTCAAAGTGAGCTACGCCGTCAAAGTGAGCTACGCCTTCAAAGTGAGCTACGCCGTCAAAGTCAGCTACGCCGTCAGCGAGCTACGCCGTCAGTGAGCTACGCTGGTCAAAGTCAGCTACGCCGTCAAAGTCAGCTGCTGTCGTCAGCGATACGCCGTCGCGATACGCTGTCAAAGTCAGCTGCGCTGTCAGCGGAGCTACGCCGTCAAAGCGAAACGCCGTCAGCGAGTTTACGCCGTCAAAGTGAGCTACGCCGTCAAAGTCAGCTACGCTCGTCACGAGTGAGCTATTGCCAAAGTGAGCTACGTCATCAGCTCAGCTACGCCAGGAAA